TGAATATATACACACGCGTTTTATTTCGCGGGCGCGCGCGACATTTTTGCCGAGAAAAAAAGTGTAATTTTAGTAGATACCCCCCTTTTTACAGCGCGAAACGCGCGGGTAAATAGTGGATATCAGTCAAAAAGCACACGCGAATCGGTCGACAAAACAACAAAAAATGTAGAGAGCGTCAGAAAACAATCCATAAAAGAGCAATCTCGGCGAGAGCGAGAAGAACAAAAAAAGGGGGAGGGGGGAAAAAAATTTTTTTAAGCGAAATAAATCCGCATGGAAAAAATGTAAAAAGAGGCCGCTCGGCAAATCCAATAAAAAGTTTATAGTCGAGCGGCTTGGGATCGCACCTGACAGCGGACAGCAGTGAGCAATCGAAGTCGGCGATAAAGCAGAGAGGCGGCGAAAGGGCAGACAGCGAGCACATATGTTCGTGCATACATATACGAGGCGTTCGCTCCGGTCCGCACGCACGTACGTAGGTACGTAGAGCAGTCGGTACGCTGATGCAGGACGTAGTGCGGCGGGCAGCAAGGCGGGGAGTACACATAGGCGCGAAAGGCAGTTATCCTCATTTGTATTCTTAGTACGTGGGACGCATCCTCGATTTACTATCACGTAGCGCGAATTATTTCGTAATCAAATCTCGACGCTCCGGCCGAAAGCTCTTATGGATGATTTCTCTATTTTACGGCCAGCCCGTGCTGCTGCCTTCCTCTTGCGAGGAGCACCCCGCGCGCTTTTTTTATGTGCTTGCGCGCTCGTTATGCCTTTTAATCCCGTGCAATTTCAATCCTTTCTCTCTCCCCTGCTACTCTCTCTCTTCTCAAGCTTTTATTAATTGCCCACCCTTCCAAGCATGCACTAACGGGGAATTTCAATGCTTGTTTCCAGTTGATTTTAATAAGCTTCGAGTGAGAGCGAGAGAAAAGGGCTTCTGATTGTCTTTTCTTTTTTTTTTTCTATCTCTTTGATCATAGAAGGTGTAGGAATCATTCCGTCGGATACCTTTACGGCTTAACGACTACTTTGATATTACGTGTGTTTTTGTTATTCTTTCTTTTCGGGGGATCGTAAATGAAGAGTTTAAGAGGCGGAATCGTCGTCGAGAGTATTTACAACGAAGCTCGCTCGGCGTTTATATGCATTCGTTATTCATAATTCGTTTTACCTGAAAAATAAAAATAAAGAAAAAAGAAATCACGCGCTAAGAGAAGTTTTACTACCGGGCTTTTTTTATTTTGTCTGGCGCTGCGTACACTTTGATTTTTCGTCTGGGACGAGTATTCATTTTTCGGAGGATTTTGTCTTCTGCAGGATGACGTTTTAGTACTAACGTCGCTAGATTGTCTCAAAGCAGTTCGACTTTATGTTGCCGCCAATCAGCAAGAGTTTTACGTCGCGTGGAAAAGTATACAGGCACGCGCATCCCGACAACGGTCGTCGCTCGTGAAAACAAGCGCGAATCATCGAGCCCGAGAATAATTTTAAAATGCTCAGCGCGCAACATCAGACATCATTAAACAAAATATCGGGGCGCTGTCTTTTTTACGAGGGATGTCTCCGAGCAAAAACATAAAGTGTCGAAGAGCAGAGTGTGTAGGGCAAGAAGGAACTGCACACATGCTAGGAATATAATTTTCGAATTAAGAACGGGATATTTTTCTGGTGGCATAAAAAAGCCAGAGAGGCGGCGGCGGCGGTGGCGGCGGTGGCGGCGGGTACCACGTGCGAGCTCACATCTGCGTGCAGATTTTTTTTTTACAGCCGCGTAAACGATGCCACCACCGCGGCAGCGAGCTTTTAACGCTCATTGTCTCCTGAGCGAGAATTAAAAAGTGAACGAGAGAGAAAGAGAAAGAGAGAGAGAGAGAGAGAGAGAGAGAGAGAGAGAGAGAGAGAGAGAGAGAGAGAGAGAGAGAGAGAGAGAGAGAGAGAGAGAGAGAGAGCAGAGAGAGAGGGCAACGAATGTCATCGATCGAGCGATAGCTGCAGGTGAAAACACGTAGAATTGGTGTATGCACGCAGCTCCCCCTGCTCCTCGTCAAAGCGGCATTATAACGACAAACAGAAACATACGCGCGGAGTGTGAGAGTATCGTTTGCCCTTTCATGCAGAGCATCCCTCTGTCGATGTTTCGCCGGGGCTCGCACATACACACACATATGCGGCGAGTTTATTCGAGTTATCAATTTCCCGACAAATATCTGCATTCCAAGCGAGCCGCCGACGCTGCCGCCGTCGCCACCGCTGCCGCCGCGTATTGACTGAATCCGTTGCATTACAACATCGGCGGACAACAACACGCGCGCGCTACCATACGGATTTTACGCCCTGACAAATTTTCACGTGGCCCGTTAAACTTTTAGGATACGCTCTCGCTCGTATACTCGCGCGCCCGCGCATTATCCAATCACTACGAAGCATTTTTCAGCTTTCATTTGCGCCGCGACGAGCGACGTTAATGGCGAATCAAAGCTCTTTTTCCCTTTTTTTTTCTTTTTTTTGCGATGATTATATTTTAGGTCGAGCCCATTGAATCACAGAGGCTGCCGCACTACATTCGGTGACGAATTGCCGCAGTGGAAAAAAAAAAACAACAAGCGAAAATTCACCGCTGCACGGGCGCGCAGGTGTGCTCGACCTTTCTGCGTGCTAATTGAGCGTCGACGGGAAACTCTTTTTCCTCTGGTTCCGACAAAAATAAATAAAGTGCGCGCGCGAGCGCAAAAAAAAAAATAAACGACTAAACGAGTAAAACAGCACAGCGATCAAATGATGCACAAGGCGGCCGCTCTTTATTATCCTTCCCACTTCGGAATCTCAAGTGACGGGAGACGGCGGCGGCTCTCTTCGTCCTTTATGCAGCTCGTGTACACTAAACGTCCTGCACTGGCGATAAGCTTTCTAACTCGCGTTTTACGGCTCGTATGCCGCGCCGCGTTAAAATCTCCCCCGGCCGCGCGATATCGCCAAAAACAAGCAACAATGCGGCCGCGACGAAGGCATAAAAGAGCGAGCGATCGGCTAATTTATGCGCGGCCACCGCGAATACAGCGGGAGTAAATAGGCCGCTAAATGCAATGTAAACGCGCGGGCGGCGTAAATGATCATTGCGCGTGACGCGCGAGGCCGAAATCACCCGATGATTTGTGGCGCGCGCGTGTGGACATTGGCCGCTTGGGAAACGTTTGCCGTCGAAGCCGCGACTTCGCGCGGGCAGTCCGGGCTGAATTTCTCCTTTCGAATAATCATCGGCTTGCGTCGCCTTCAAGTCAACTCGCGCCGAGATGGATCGTTCAAACAGCAGAAGAGAAACAATAAATAAGCAAGTGCGTCGGAAACGCCGTCGCGACGTCAGAAGCGCTAGATGCTTGGCCCGTCGGCACTCAACGCGGAGGTCGCGCAACTCGACTGTCTGGCGAAAGGCAAAGGAGGAACACTCACTTCGATAAGGACGTCCCTCCTCGGGCGTGGACCTCTCGGTGTTCTCGGAGCAAGGCGTGGCGCTAGCCTCCCTGTCCTCCTCGGCACCCTGATTGCCCGGAGCGTTGGGCGTCGGCGCGGTGCCAGAACCCTGACTGCCGGGCGGCGACCTGCTCGTCGAGTTGGCTGGACTTTGCGGCGCAAGCTCCGTGGCGGCTTGCGCGGCAGGTGAGAAGAGACTCGACATGTTGGTGGTCGCTGCTGGTCCTCCCGATCCGCCGCCGCCGCCGCCGGGCGAACTCTCAGCGGCCTCGAGCTTCAGCCGCTTCTGCGGTGGCGCGAAGGCCGACGGTGCCAGCGGCCGGAATGCGCTGCTGCCGAACGGCAGCCGATGATCCAGGGGATGCAGGAATTGGTGCTGCAGGTGCAGCATGTGATGCAGCCGATAGTCGAGGCTTGCTGCTGCCGCGGCTTGGTTGAACGGCGACGACAGATCTTTCGCCGCTTCGCCGATCTGTCAATCAAGAGGACAACCATTTGTTTTTTCTGCCTGCTTTGCGGGAAAGGGACGTCGAGTTTGTTGCAGCTCGCTCTCGTTGTCGCGGAGCATTCGACGACACTCGGCGCGCGCACGAATTGACAGTTCTTCACTACAAATTGCCTGCCGAAGATTCCTACCGAACTGCGTAAGTTTCGTTTTTCTTTCGTTCTTCATTTGCGAGTCTCAAGCGACAAATTAAAAAAAATTATCTACGACGAAGCTGAACGCGCCGAGTAATTGTCATCAAATCACTTTGTTCTGACACACAAGTCTACATATTCGCCATAATCTACTGCACTACATAATTTCAAATGATCATCATCTATTGTGACGAAAAGCTCGGGTATCTGGGACAAACGCTCCTGGCTACGGTACTTGCGTGGGCAATATATTATAATATGCTTTGAAATGATGAAGTACGCCGCGTTAATTGAAAATTCAGCCAAACTCTCAGTAAATTGTTATTCGTAGATTACAGCATAGCCGAACACCACTATTCACAAGCGACGAGTCATTATTCGGTCAACGAGAAAGAAGGTAAATAATTTCGGCGAATCGCTTCTGTTCCAATTTTCATTAATTGCTCTTCTAGATAATTTATAGACTGACTCGGAAGGGTAATCGTCGATTGCGAAAAAGCTCGCGGCTAAATGATAACATTAATTATCTCATCAGTTTTTTAGAGGCCGACGTGGAAATGAATCTGTGGATTACCGAGCTAGCCAATAACTGATTAATATTTCGAGCTCGAGCTCGCGGCTCTTTTGCGAGAGCGGGAAAATTGAATCGTTTTTCCGCTCGATTCATCGAATAAAAATATGCCATAAATCTTTTAATATTTGAAAGCAACTCCGCCTCCCCCTCCCCCGATCGCCTCAATTAAAAAAATGATTACTCTTTGCTGCAGTTTCATTTTTTCCTCTCTCTCTCTCTCTCTCTCTCTCTCTCTCTCTCTCTCTCTCTCTCTCTCTCTTTTTCTCTTTGCCATGCGCGAGTTGTGATTTTATTGTATATATGTACCATCGAAATTACATTTGTCCGCGCACGACGGTGAAAAATATTAAATGTACAAGCTTTTCATTTAGCGCGATCCTGTCGTGAAATTTCGACACTTTTTAAAATAAAAAAGGGCGGGCAGCGCCGCCATCCATTATTATGCGTTCAAAGCGATTTTCGTTTTTTATTGAAAATCGTATTGTTGAATTTCTAACAGTTCATGAAAAATTGCTCATTTCGGGCGAATATTTACAGCTTCCTGCTTACAAAGTTTTTAAAAGACCATCGGCGACGTATAAGGGGGCATAGATATTTTTATTGGCCATAACTTATATAGGCTTTTATGAAATGGGGAATTCTTTTTTTTTGTTCCTCATCGTCGTTGTTGTACAACGCGTCTAGAGCCCATATACTAAGTAACAAAATATGAATATAATTTTCGAAGTAAAAAAAGGATTAACGTTTTATACGGCCGTTCGAGCATTTAAAAAGAAAATGAGAAGCAGCGTATGGCTTTTGGAGAGGCATCATTTTTTTTTATAGAAGCATAGACCAAATACAAATAGCACGGAGGTAAGTGCGGCGCGTTTACGAGTGAGTTATGTCTTTATTTCGCCGGCAGGACCCGTGACGTACAAAACAAGGCCCCGAAAACGCATTCCTTTTTTCCTTCCACGCTTCGCGAGAAATAAGCGTCACTCACAAGCACTCGCATATACATGTCCGTCACTGTTCTCCCCCCCCCCCCTCACCTCGCGAGTTTCGCGCTCGTAAAGCGTTAATCAAATGTAAGCTTGTTTCACTCTCGCCAATGAGAAAATCCTTTTTTCCTACGCACATCTGCGACGTGATTCTTGAGACGCGAATAAATATTTTACGAGGTATCATTCAGCCGGCAAAGTATGGCAACTTTGTTTCGCCGAAAAGGAATAATATTTACGTTTCCCTGTTTCGTCTTTAGCTCGTTTAATGTCGCTTTCATTAAGCTTATAAACGCTGCCGAAATAAATATCTCTGCGCCTCATTGAATATCACAATAATTCTTCGAAAATGCGAGCGTAAATAATTCTTAACTGCGCCTCCAGATTAATTACAGGATATTAAAAACAAAAATCCGGCATTTTACGATTGAACGAACCAAATGATCAACCGTGGAAGAACAAAATCACTTGGTGCTGTTTTATTACACGCTTAACCTTCTGTTTGCACTTTTGGATACACACGATCGTCGTCGCGCACACTTGCATACGTCATGAGAAAAGCAACACCAGTTAAAGCTACAATAGTATACGAAAGAAGAGTCTTGCGACGGAGCATCTCCTTTTTCAAAAACGATAAACAGTCGAGTGAGAGAGAGAGAGAGAGAGAAAGAGAGAGTGAAACAGTGTATCACGTGTCTTTTTGAAGTGCACGTGTGGAAAAATGCGCACACAGGTTGTCGGATGAAAATACTAACTTGAGGATTGAACGGTCTCTGCATCCTGAGGGCCGCTTCGGAAAAGCCACCAGCTTGCGAAAATACCACCAGTGGCGGTGGCAATTGGTTGGGCACATATGCTGAATTATCCATCGTGTCGCGTTGCTTTTCCGTCTACGTTAGATTTGCTTTTTGGTGTAGGGTTTTCTTTTTTGAAAATTCAAATGATTCGCGCGCAATGAGATAAAAGAGCACCACACCTAACCTACACCATGGCCGTAAGCCGGCGGCGGCGGCGACGGCGGCGACGATGACGACGACGACGACGACGATAAACAACAGCAATAGTGCGATAAAAGCACACGACAGCACCACGTGGTTATGAATGAAACTCGCGGCATCACGGCATTTGGAGCAACGTCAGCTGTCAAGCAATTGTTTGTCAACAAGAACGGCTTGCGATAAGCCGCAGATGTAATGTACCGCGATAAATGTGTGTGCGTGAACGTGAGAGACCTAACCTCTCGGCTTAGCGCCGAGGGTAGTTAGATCAGCGCGAGGTAGCTGAGCTTTTTTGGGTAATGCTAGCTCGGGAACACGCGGCTGCAGACTGAGAGGAGTGAGGGTACTTACCCGCCAGCCAACACCGGTTAAACCGCCCGCGAGAGAGAGAGAGAGGAGGTGGTGGTGGAGGTGGTCCGCACGCGCAGCCTGCCTCCAAAGGCTGCACTCGCTGGCTGCTATACACTCGCGGTGGCGCCACCTCCTTTCATATTCTCTTCTCTCTCTTGCTCGCAATGTGCTTGTGAAAGATTATACTTGCGGTGTGATGATGCGCGAGTGTTGTTAGTAGCTGAGAAAAAGATGTCTAGATGTGCGAGGGTGGGATGATCGTTCGAGATAGTTATTCTTTTGCTTTCTCTCTCTCTCTCTCTCATTCTCTCTCTCGTTCTTTCTTTCTCGCCCAGATGTATACATACTACTTTATCGCTATATATTAAACTTAGCTTTACTATACTTGCGCGTTTTTCTTAGAATTTCAGGACCGGTGGATTAAAAGAAAGATTTTATGCAAGTTACATATTTATTTCAATAATTATATTAAATTTGACACATATATTCGTGATAGTAAATTGTTATATATAAATACTTCAAGTTAGGCTTTCAAAACACTCATAAACAACGCACCAACTCGCTGCTTTCGCTCTTAGAACCAGTCTTTTTTACGTCCATAAGAGAATACTATAAGATTATAAAATTTAATATCTTCGTTTATTATACTATAGAAAAGACTGATATATATAATATCAATAAAGCGCGTAAAAAGTACATATATTTCAAAAAAATAGATGGGTAACGCCATCTGTGCAGAGCTGCACGAAACACCAATTCCAACAAATCTGTATATATGCACCGATAATAACTTAATTCAATAACTTACACGCAATAAATAATTCAACACTTACGATTACCAAATGTCAAATTAATAAATAATTTCAAAAATCTTTACAACATCATCGTCTATAAAAAATAACTTATGAATAAAATTACCTACAAAAATAATTATTATTTAAATAAGTATCGAACGTGCATTCAACAAGCATTAAAAAAGTTCATTAATGTTAGATTCTTTTATCTTTTCTAATACAGTATGTAAAAATAATCTGTCGCTGTGAAAAAATCTACTTTCTACAGTCGTTTATCGAAAACATATCACAAAAAACTCAAAATTTTTTAATACCTTAGAGCACCGATTCTCTCATTTAAATTAATATTTCATCAACACAGTTTGTACGCAAATATGAGCTAAAAAAAGTTTTCTTACCATTTTTATCATATCAGCAATATACAAATTTTTAAAGCTATAATTTTACCATATTGTCTACACGGCAAAACCTTAAAATCCTATGTGTTTAAATTTAAACAATTCAAGTGTGTAATTGTGACGTCACCCATAAGAAATACATTGTCGCTGAATTTAAACGTTTAGAAGTGCTTAAAATTGAGGACAATGTATTTCTTATGGGTGACGTCATATTAAACGTTTAAATTTAAACACATGGATTTACCGTGTAATCTGTCAAAAAACCTAATTATTAATATACCCATATTAATAACAAATAAATGACTATGCCTATGATATGAATGAAGTTATGTTACCATTCTACTGAATATTACTAACTGAATAACTTGATTACAGAGTATTCCCGAATCTTACTATTTTCAAGGATATGATTCAAAATCTAACAAATTTTCCTTTTCTGAAGTTTCCTCGGGAATTATCTGCATATTGGATTCATCATAAAGAAAAATTTGTTCCACAAATATAGTATCTGAATTAGATTGGTTTAAATTCGTAACTACTGGGTTCGGATTTGATAGTTCAGCTATTTCGGGACTTTTTTCTTTTTGATCGATCGATTTCCTACTCGTTTTTGATTTTCGAAGATGAGATTGCATATGCCGTGAGAGATCGTATCTTCCCACAAATTTGGCATCACAGATGTCACATGTAAAGGGTTTTTTATCATTGTGACTAAACATGTGACGGCGCAAAGCTGCACTGAAAGTAAATGATAATCCACAGACATTACAGACATAAGGCTTCTCTCCTGAATGCAATAGGCTATGGTCCTTTAAAGTTGCTTTTTGGTTGAATCTTTTACCGCAAACTTCACATGTGAAACTCCGTGGATTCGTATGAATTTTCTTATGATTAATTAGATTGCCTTGTTGAGAAAATGTTTTATTGCATATTTCACAAGCGAAAGGTTTTTCGCCTGTATGAGTCCGCATGTGAACATGCAGTGAACGATTATTCAAAAATCTTCTACTGCACAATGTACATGGATACTTTGGTATAAAACGACCTTTTGGGTCAAGATGAGTTATAAGATGCCGCTTGTAATTACCTTTATGATTAAATGACCTAGGGCATTGATCACATTTAAATGTTGTTGTTTCTCCATGCATTGTCATATGATCATCCAAATCGCGTCTGACTTTAAATCGCATACCACATTTTGAACAACGATGTCTAGGAAAGTCAGTGTGACAAGCCATGTGTCTCTTCAAATACCTCTTTCTACTGTACGATTTGCAACAAAGAAAACATATATAAGGAGTTGGCCCTGTGTGCGTCTTAACATGTGCTTTTAATTGCTTAAGACTTTCACAATCCATTTCGCAGACAATACAGTAGAATGGTCCACTACTTGGTACATGTAAATCAACAATATGATTTAAAACTTCTACAAGTTCTGGATAATCTTGAGAACATAGAGTACATTGAAACTGAGCACTTTTTCCCTTTTCTTTTATTTCTTTGACTTTTGTGATAGAATCATTAAGACTACCTACAATATCATCAACTGCATTTGTAAAATCATCCGAATCACTATCATATTCTGAGTCATGATCGTTGACACCTTTAGTAACATCATTAATTGGCATGAGTTGTTCATAATCTATTAAATTGAGCAAATCTGCATTTTCATTTGAGAAACTATTATTGTCTATTTGATTGCTGTAAGCTGTAGAAGCTGCAAATGATTCTAAATTTATACTACTCATTTCATTACCTATGATATTAGTACCATTGATATTATTGAGAGCATCAAATTCCTCTTTGCTCAGTACAACATGAATATTTTGTACTTCATCAGGATTATCACTACTTGGTGCTTGAATTCTTAAGACAACTGTATTATTAATATTTGTTAAGTCTTCACTTGATGTAATATCAATACCCACATCTTCAATCAAATTTGATACTGCTATGCTGGTTTCATTATCATTATTACTAATATCAACTTCTTTTTTCTTTCGAGGTTTGTAAGGCTTGCAAAATTTTTTCTTTCTAAATTTGATTTCTGATATGTTTTGTTGATTAATTGTATCATAATTTATTTGATTATCCTAAAATACAAAATTTATTAGCCTGAAAATAATTATACTTAGATAAATAATTCTCAGATATTACATTTAACGTAGAAGTTGCTTGTTCTAATGTTTCCCTAAGATTTTGATCAGTCTGCAAAATCAATTGTTTGAACTCAAAATAAGCGTTAGTTTTGGCTGCACATTCTCGGCATATCTTTTTCGGTAGACCGTCGTTATTTTTTATCTAAGGATTAAATAAAAAGTTAATATGACACGTACGTATCAACAAATTTTGAATAACAATAACTTGTGACATGAAAACTAACCTCGATTTGAGTTAATTCGATTAGTTTTTCTGCTAGATTTTCGTTTACATTTTTATCCTCTTCGTCATATAAAGGTAACAAATCGATAGTGGACTCCATGCAAGCACGGCACATATCCCCCCAGCATATTTCCAATGCCATTTTAACTTTTCGCAAACCAGAATTTAATGTCACATTAATGAAACAACACCCGGAAACCGCAATTTCAATTCATAACATATCAACAAATGGTTTAGAGAATTAGAGATTCAATTTCAGAGATAGGCATTTTAGCCGACAGCCATTATTTGAGCTATTAAGGCTAGATAAACCACAGCGTAAAGACTAAAACGGCTATGATGGCTGGACTCTGATTCGATATCCTATATCTTAGTTTGGAACATGCGCCATCTGTCAGCCGACACTGTAAGTTTATTCAATTTTCATTGCGAATATTGCGACTTACCTATAATTCTAAAGGTATGCTTTAGAATTGTAAGTTGCGATATGAACACTCAACACTTGTTTATTAAGACTTCAAGGAAGAGCTACAACATGAAATTTCGATTTAAAATTACGACTTCAATTACGATATGCACAAAATTTGGCGGCGCTTGCAAGCTCGCGTTCTTGATAATTAAAATTAGTTCCATGGTCCCTGCACAGATAGCATAAATATCGACATTTTCGAGAATTTAAATTATTTAATAATTTATATAATGAAAACTCCAATACTTATAGGAATATCAATATTAATTTTATTATAAACGACCTTTAATCAATGATATTTCATACACACATTTTTTAAAATTTGTACGATTGACCGCTCGCACGATATAACGCTTCTTTTTTTCTGTTCATCGATTTATGGTATATAGGAATGGAATTTATATGGCCTTTTTATACTCAACTCGTTCATAAGAGAATACAATTGCTTTGGTAGTGCTATATAGTATCACGTTTTTCATTTTTTTATCGACAATAATTTGATTAATCAATCGTATAAACACCAGTCGATTGATAAAGAGAGTGCCGTATATGGTAAGGTATGTCGTGAGAAATCGCATTTTTCCACAAATTTAACACTACAGATGTCACATGTGAAGGGTTTTTGTATCGTCGAGACTAAATAAATGATTGACATTAATGTAAATCTACGCTGTGAACTGTGGAATATCATTGCTATTTTTAATTCAAAATATAAGTGCATAAAAAACATTGATTTTTCCAATTGATAAAAAGCGCTGCATTCACCCACTGCCTGCAAATGTCTCTGAGGATATAGTAGTAGGTTATCCCATGTGATTTTGAACATTCCGAGATTGTATTTGTATTTTGACTCACAGATATTATGGAGATGGTAATAGAAAAATTTAACAGTATGGACAATGTGTCAGAAAGTATTTTAAATGTCACAAATAATCTCTGCAAAATAATTTAACTATTTTGTCTCTGTAATTATTAATTTAAAACAAGCTTTTAGTGTCGATAGGAAATGGTAGTTATGTATTCCAGTTTCCTTGGGATCGAGTGCTCAAAAGAGCCTTGTGATCATTTGTTCGCCTTTGAGTGCTCGCGTAGCACTATCGATGGCCACATATAGCGCTGATGAAAATTGAAATGCACAAAACTACTTGAACAATGCCAAAAACTCATGGATATTTTAAAAACTGATGAAAATATTGACAACGACAGCAAATAGGAAAAATTATTTGAAGAGAATGATTAAATGAAATTCTGATCGAACGCGATGATTTTACCGAAAAACAAAGTAATATCATTTATATTCAGCTCGCTTATATTCGAACGTTAATACCACGATATGCAATAATAGGCTACTTCAGTCACACGTATCATGATATAATATTTTATTGTTACGTGAGTCTTATTTAAAGGAACCATGTTGAAGAGAAAAAACAAGTAATTCATTACTAAAATAGCTAACAATGTACGTTTTTAACAAATTAAAGTGAAAACTAAGAAAATTCACTAGGCGCGTATTTTTGATCAAAAAGACTTTAAGTTTTTTAAATTAAGATGAATGATTTTGAATTTCAAATATCTTCATGTTCTCATAAAACAAATACCGAATTCGGGAGACAGTCACTTGGAGATCATGAGGTAAATTAATCGCTAATTCACCCGAAGGCAATAAAATTTTTTTCAAACGTTTTTACAAATGCTACTAGATAATAAGCATCATAGTTTAGTTTGACCTTAAAAATCAACTTGATTACAGACACTATATGTGACGTATTCATTATTATGAATCTTATATACGTTGATGTCCGTAGTAAAAGATGATTCTAATTCCGTCGATGCAAAGATAGTAGAGATTTCAAAGATAACTGAAATTGTACACTAAATTTCAATACTTTCAAAAATGGGTTATTGAAATACAAATGAAAATATAATAACACTTGTTGAACCTGAGCGATAATTTACCTGAAAACCAATGCTATTTATGACTAATATGAATTAGAAGTGTATGTTATTTCATTATTATCACTGTGACTAAACGTTGAGGTAATCTACAATAATTTCAACACAAACAATTTATAGATAAGTGCTATCAAAAACTGTCACGCGTAAAAATAAGTATATGGTTCAAGCGTCAAATGATTCATTAGCTCGTTTAGGCGGCGCGTATACGTATGTATCGATTGTCGAAGCGCGTATACGCACCGTGGAAAATCTGTGATAAGCGCGATCCCAACTTGGCCGGCGTCCCTCGTCCCCCGCCTCATCTGCTTGCCAGCTCTAAAAAGCTGCTGCCAGCAAACTGCCAGTCCTTCGCGCAACATCAGCAGTTGCAGGCGTACACTTGAGCGGAGCACGTTGACAATGTCGGACGAAAATTTGGAAGCACTCGAGAGCGTGTACAGGAGCGTGGAAAACTTTACCAACGACTTCCACGAGGTCAGTTTCCAATCTCTTTGCGATCGTTAATCATTTTGACAGGCGTGCCTTTTTTGACAGAATGTCGCCGGTAAGGAAAAGGGCAACTTCGTTAGTTCGGCCTTGAGCGCGCACGTAGTGCTGTCGATGGCCGCTTACGGCGCTCGCGGCACTACCGCCGAGGGAATGAAGAAGGCTTTGCACCTGCCCGCCAAAGATACCGATGCTTATCAAGGATTCCAGAATTTTATCGATACCTTTAATGTGAGTCAGCTATTGATTCGATTACCGGTTACTTTCGTCATCGAACATTCTTGTGCTTTTCCTCTCTATTACTCAATCAAATGTTATTTTCACTCGCAAGCTGCACACCAATTATTAATACGCTCTTAGCGACTGTTCAACGTGTACTTGGAATGTTAATCATCGGCACTATCTCTTTCGACAAGAATTTATTTTCCGTTTAAAATTTGCTTTCGCCTCTGGATATTCGTGAATTCGAAATTCGCTAAATTGAAGTGGCTATATTTAACGTGAAATATGCGTGCTGCTATACTTATTTTCGTAATAATAATATTCACTTTTCGTTCCGCAATTTATTTCTGGTATAAATACACCAACGAAATTTGAAAAATAATATACTATCAAAGAGTTAACAAAGAACATGACGCGCGTCATGTATCGAATGTAAATTACTTACACAATTGCGGTTCAGTCGATATTTGATAGGGATTACTTGAAATTCTAAAAGTTGCCCATGATGTCACCCGCAGACGCAGTGCACGATAATCAATATTAGAAAGGTTTGAACTCCGTTGGATATGTACGCTTAATGCTAGAACAACGATAAAACGATAACATCTATTAATTAAACTTTAAAAATTCATTCGCCAATATAGCTAGACGTTTGTAATAATTTATTATATTCTTTTCTATCGTAGAATGTCCAACAGGTTATCTTGAAATTGGCAAATAAAATTTACACTAACAGTGTAATACCCGTTAAAGATGAATATCTTAAACTTACCGAAACGTATTTCCGTTCACAAAGCGAATCTATAGATGTTTCGAAACCAGTGGAAGCTGCCAAAATTATCAACCAGTGGTGCGTAGAAAAAACAAATGGCAAAATCACTGAAATCCTTGAAGCAGGTATGTCGAAAACTTCTTATCCTCTACCGTAGAAAAAAGCGAAAATTTTTACAATTTTTCGGAATTCAGTAACTCTGCAAGCTTTTAATATTTTTTATCGCGCAAGACATTTTCCATTAGTTTACTTTTATATATTTTAGATAGTAATGGCTCATTATCAAATAGGCTATCTACTAAACGTCCTTTTTATTCAATTGAGCTTCGACGGCATCAATTTTTATATCCTCTTCACAGTTTCTTTATCAATTTTCAATATTTTCGAACATGGTTTGAACATGTTTTTTAACTCGTTAAAAACTTTCATTTGATTTTCCATATGTTTTGTTTGAAACATTATTTTTAAAGGGGCGAGAGGAGAAATGCATTGACGCACGAAGGCGGGACGACCGACCCGACAGAAACCCTCGGGATCTCCCTGTCCTATTCCACCGTAGTCAAGCGTCGGTCTCCCCCTGCAGCATCGGTGCGTCTTTCGCTGCCACTTTCTTTGGCTCCATCCCTTATTGCGCTCCCCGATTGTTGCATCTCCGCAGCCCCCCAGTCCGGACCTTGGAGTTAGGTTTTATCCCTGGCGAACGTTTTGATCATCGTCCACTGCTCCCGACCCTTGAAGATTACCGGGATCAGGTTCTTCGGCGAGATCGGCTCACCAAGGACACTCTCCACCTCGTGTTTGCACGCAGCCCAGAAGGTGCACTCAAAGAACGTGTGCTCAGCAGAGTCTGTCATCCGCGGGCAGTACTGGAACCGCGGGGATGTCATCCTGCCTATGCGGTGAAGGTACCCCGCGAACGCACCGTGGCCGGTAAAAAATTGCGTCCAGTAGAAAGATATCTGTCCGTACTATCGCTCGAGCCAGGGCTGGATCCTGGGGGGATTAAGCGGTGAATCCATCGCCCTGTATCCCCGCCATGCCACTCTTTATTTGAAACATTAGAACCAAAGATACAGAGGCAAAAGCATAGAAAAATTGTATAACGTACTGTACAGTAGAAAACATCAAAAACTTGCAGAGATATGATTTTTCGAAATTAGTGAAAAATAATCCGAAAAAGGCTTCTTTCAACATGTTGTATTCCGTTGCATAGCAAAGGTTAAATAATTATTGTAGTGGTTATACGATTGAAATATTGCAATAATAAAGATTCATAAGTATGTGTTTATTGAATTTACTGTGATAATTTTAGGTGATATTACTCCGGTCCTGGCACTGGTACTGTTGAATGCAGTCTATTTTAAGGGTAATTGGAAACACAAGTTCGACGAAAAACATACAGAAAATAAGCCGTTCCACGTTGATAAAAATACGGTTATTGAAGTTCCAACTATGCACATCAAGAAAAAATATTACTACAAAACTGTTGATGAACTCAACGCCCAATGTGTAAAGCTTCCGTACGAGGTAAATACTTTAAAAACGCTGCATGCGAATACTACAAATTTATGTTAACGTACAGAATGAAGATCTGGAAATGGAGATTATAGTACCCAATGAAGTTGATGGTTTAGCTTTTATAGAGAAGAATTTGGGAAAGTTGAAAAACAGTGGGAATAATGGATATTATAAACACGAAATTGATCTTGCCTTACCAAAGTTTAAAATTAAGACAACACTAAATTTGGAGAGTCATCTCAAGGAGGTAATATAATATAATATATATTTATATACATAATTAGTAGCTACGATAATAGTAATTCACTTGAATTGTTTCTATTGCTTTCATGTGATTTTCAGTTGGGTATGGACGAGATGTTTACCACTATGGCTAATTTTGGGTTTATCTCCGACAGGTCTTTATCAGTTAGTAAAGTTATTCAGAAAACTTTCATTGAAGTTAACGAAGAAGGTTGCGAAGCCGCTGCAGTAACTGGTAAGCATAAATTATAATATTTTTCGAATCTAATTTTGCACTGTCTTTAATTGATCGGTGAATAGAATCGCGTCAAATATCTCATTGGACAATACAATTAGTATTCTTTAATTTGTATGTAAAATGCATGTAACTTAGTTAAGTGCCAACTGAAAATAGTGCCTAACTGCTTGCTGGGCTTTCTTGCTTTATTTTCTAATTTATATCAACGGTACGTAGAATGAGAGTTTTCTCATTGATATATTGATGATACAAACAGGTATGAGGTTAATGAAACGTTCCTTGGCTCCGCCACCAATTACACTGCAGGTGGATAGACCTTTCCATTATCGAATAGTGAATAAAGGAAATATTTTCTTCTCAGGACGCGTTGCTAATCCTTCAGTTAATCAATGAATACAAAGTTCACAACCGATCGTGCCTTTTCACACTCCATTGCTTCTTCATCTTCTCATCGCTTTTTGTACTTGTGCAAATATTGTTATAGATCTGCAAATGTTTTAAATATTGGTCTATTTTTATCTACATATATGCTAGTTTTGATATTATCTTTTGATTAATATAAGAATAAATGTTTTTATTATATTAATCTTTAATATAAAGTGTTTATTTTTCCATTTTTACATTTCTACATTGTCGTTAATATCGTCAGACTTAATCTAAACTTGGGAAGATACAATCGAAAAACAAAATCATAAATCTTAGGATTAACGACTTTTAATTAATTCGACAATTTTGTTTTCAACAATAACAATACAGTACGCGCGTGCTATAAGAATTGAAAAACTACTGTAGAGATTTTTGATACTTTACAAGAACAATGTAATTTGTTATAAACATGTCTTTAATCCTAATAAGATTTAAATTCAGTTCCTTTTTTATATCAAATATTTATAGTTTCAATTTTCTATTGTTAATCATATATCACAATATTAACGTTTTATCGCTTTCTGCTTGTACGGCAATACCCTCAATGTAACGTGAAATTAAGATAAAATGATATTAAATTTTTCGTATTTATTTGTATATTTTCTTTTAACTTGAATGACAATAATTCGGAAAAAAATAAATTACTTTTTTATTTTAGCTGTATGCGCTGTAACAGATTCCATAATACCAATTGTGAATGTGGATAAGCCATTTCTTTTTAAGATAGTGTATCAAAAAAATATTACAATATGTACTGGGCGCATAAATAAACCTGCAAAAATTTAAAAATATTGTATATACTTATTGCTGTTATAAAAAAACTCGTGTTCTAATGTATCACTACGATAATACGAATTCCAAGACATTGATACAAAATCATTTTTTTTATTTATTCTATCTTCCTAGTAATCAAAAAGAATAATTTTTTTCTCATATAGCACGCAAAAGTATCAATTTAGTGCTTAATAATTCTGAAGCATTTTCAAAAAACTGTATACGAACTTTCATGTAGGTTTGGGTATCATGTTACTGTGTATGCCGCCACCTCCAATTGATTTAAATGTGGACAAACCGTTCCTCTACAGGATTCTTTACAAGGCTAACGTAATATTCTCTGGACGGATTGTTAATCCCCTCAAGCATTAAATGTTTTACTTCATGGCTGATATTTTAAAGAACGTATTTATAATATATATTAAAATTGAATGTGATATTTACAACTGTCAGTTTGTAATTTGAATTATTAATTGTGAATAAATTAACTTGTGCTAATTCAAAAAATCCCCATTTAAAACGTTACTGATATAATCAATAATCATGAGATCACAACGTTTATAATTCATTTTGCAATATCGTGAATTCGCTTGCCAGCTCAACAAATAATTTTTTACACAAGCAACTTTTAGTATATTAAACTTATGTTTAACATTTTTTTTGTATTTTAGCTGTTCGTATGGTCCTGCGCTGTATGCCTATGCGTCCACTTGCATTGAGCGTGGATAAGCCATTTATTTACAGAATACTCTATAAAGGCAACGTTATTTTTAGTGGTCGCACTGTTAATCCTCTAAGCGAATAATGTGAACCGTTTCGTAATAAAATAATTTTATTCAATATATACTGTGTTAATATACAATTTTTCAAAGAACATCATTTAATTTTTTTCGAAGCATGCATTTTCAACAAGCTAGAAAATCGTAAAAGAAAAGAATCGCTTTTAGTTTAGCAAGTCATTAATATATTAATAGACTCGATAGAATTTTTATTCTTTTCACTCTACGTTACCATAAATTGGTTGGGTAGACAGACTTTTTTCATTGTATATTGTCTTAAATGTTTGAAAAGATGTAATTTATTTAATTGAAGGAGAAAAAACAAAAAATCCTTGCGTTAATTAATTGAATTGCGTTTGAAATTCGTCCCTTATTGTTACATAAAGTCTTTATGTTTGTTAATAGATAAACCATTTTTTTTAAAGAACCACTACAAATCTTATACCCTTTTCATAGGTCGCTCATCAATCCAATGAAATCTTAATATTTTAAAGTGGTCTGAACTTCATTTTTAGATAAGGATTAATAAATGTATTTTAGCAATTGCAGTATGCATCGCATTTTAATGGCTAGTATATATTATAAAAATTTGTATAATTTATTTACTTAAATTAATTTATCGAATATTATATTCTGATCTGTAATTAACTGTTAGGATAGCTAAGTTTAGTTTACTGCGTAAAAACAGATTTTCTTTGTTCAAGATTGAAACTAATATCGATTTGTACAGAAGTCTGAATAAGGCAAGTCTTTGAATTATCGAATATTTCGTGCTAGTAATCTTTGTTGATTTTTTATTATGTTATTTGTGGATGGGAATAGGAGAGAGTGTCTGAACGTCAGTAAAATTCAACGAAAGTTTAACAAATGATAATGTCACGGGTTGCAATAATGTACGCATACTAGAATTCGGGTATTTTCGATACACGTGGCCGCATCGCACAATATTTCGCATTACACGCCTATGCTCGATGCGGCCACCTTCGCGCTCGACACTAACTCAGCGCAGTTCATATCCGTTCTCACCGCAAAAGTGCTGTTTCGCGCCGCGAGACAATTTCATCTCCCTCCAGGAGAGTAGTCTATATATGCAAGCACGCGGACTTGCGAAAACATAAACCTCTCGCTTCATAAAATTAGAGTACTGTTTGGAACAGCAAGCTACACAATTCCACGCGAGTATTAGCTATTGGTTATTCATTGTCGATAAATTAACGTAATCTCTCTTTACTTTTCGGGAATCAATAAAGTATAAGTAAAGCGAATCTCACTTAGACCTATCTGTTTATTTTTTAATCCTACCTTCACAATAATCTCTGACTGACTGCGGACTGCCGGGTGAATTGAGGATCAAGGAATCCCAACTCTTAACAATAAATTATTCTAAAAATCTTTATAAATTTTTTGTGCAATATCAATGTGCTATATCCAAGACTCAATTAATCTTTTAAATATAATGATGATATTAAATATTGTTGCTTATACATCATACAAACAATAAGTTACTTTTTATTTATTTCTTTGAAGGCATTATCATTTTATCATGTATAAATATTACATTTCAGTGCTGAAAATAAGAAAATATAGATGCGCTTAGAGTTCTTATTTTTATTCTTACATTTATTTGCACATATTTAACTTAATCGTTTTTACTACGTTTAGTTGTATAAAATATAAATGTAAATTTGTTAAAGTACTTATGTAATCGTTAAAATGCAATTATATTCGAAGGTAAATTGCTTAAATTGACTAGTATTTACATTCTATAAACGTTTTTAGAGTGATTCACATTAAATTTAAATTGATACATTACTGTTTTGCATCGTTTTATGTAAAATAAAAATGAAGTATTCATTAGTTTAGGCATAATTCGAGTATATGAAATAATACTTTTGGTCATTACTGTCAACGAAAAAATAAATTTCTAAACTTCTATTTCTAGCACGAATAAAGTTATAAAAATGTTATAATATTCCTCATGTCTATTTCATTATTTACACAGCAACAGATATGACAAAAATGCCAGCGATCACTTCAAAAGAGTATGGAGCAAGAATATATTTGGCACTGTTCCTGCGTCCATTTCTTGCCCAATGCAATAATAAAAGCTTTAAAAGCTTGATCTTGTCGTTGCTTTTGATCTTCCTCCTCATCCTCGTCTTCATAATCAACTTCATTATCGTCAGTACTTCCGTCGCTTTTACTTTTGGCTTTCACTTGTTCAGCCCTTTTAGATAAATAATTTGCCAATTTTTGTGGAAAGTTAACGTAAGTTGAAGTCGATAAAAAAGCCCCCAATTCACATGCTACCCTAGTCGGACATCCCCGTAAATCCCAAATCTTTGTGTCATTGACGTTGTTGTAAGCTTGATGATTTAAAACTGAACTCGCATTAAAATTAGTACGACTCTCGATGTCTTCGTCGTGTGGATGTTGAATGTCGTGATTATGAATGTGCGATGCAGCATCTTGAATCTTCTGGAAAATGAGATCATGTAAATTGAAACTTTGAGTGAGCGCTGGATAAATATGCCGGACGAAGAATGGCAGGATGATGAAGAGTTTAAAGAAGATCTTGATGAGCGCAAGAAACTTGATTATACCAATCGGTACGAGAATCAACTTTATGACCAACAAGGGAATGATAAAAGGTAAGCTGCTTGTAGCAATTAGTTGTATTAGAGCCCAAAGATTTGCACCCAAGGCTCCAACCAAAGCAATGAAGTCTGCTGCCGTATTGTCACAGTTCAATTGACGGTTTTCCGGGCAGTGACATTCACGTTCGGGATCTGTTAGAATATATTCTGTGAGATGTTTGTGTTTTATCGGATCATTCAACTCAACAAAACGTACTTATACCATCTGGAGGAGATTCTTCGTAAACGGGATGAGGCGGGATAGGTGGTCCATAGTACCCTAGATCCGTCACGGGATATGGCTCACGGTATGATTCCGGTATGTAAGCTTCGTATCCCGCCAAGTTTTGTTCCACGGGAATCGTGCTATACGGGTCTTCATATTCTGGAGGTTGAGGAACGTAATTATCTGGAGTGAAAATAAATCGCATGATCGTTAAACAGGCTTTTAGTTTTCAATACTTGCTAATATTATAGTAGACTATCATGAATGAGGAGGAAATGACGAACGATGTACAAACGGCGTATTGACTATAGTATACCGCGATAATGATTTACGTTTCCTATGGAAAAACCGAACATACCAAATGTCTTTGTTTCATAGTTTCAAAGGAAGTCATCCTATATATTGTAAGTTTGATCAAACTTATGATTGATGATTCAACCGGTTGCTTCGAAAACATAGCTATAAATTGTTAGAGAATACCAGTTTTTATTCTCATACATTTTGGGAACCTAAGGCTTATCTTGGACAAGAGAACTATACAAAATTACCTTGCTGATAATTTTGATACTGCTGCTCCGAATAGTCTTCGCTAGTGACGTAAATCTTTCTTTTGTCCTCGCGCTCGCTCTGCCCGGTAGAGTAATGATGATTGGAATATTTCCGATGAGGCGTCGATCTCCTATTCTTCGCGGTTACTTGAGGTGAACTCGTGGTTTTCGCTAACAATCGATTATCGCTTTTGTTAGCTGATGTTAGTTGAACGGCTGAACTTACCGGATGATCGGTGCTCGTTGTAATATTTAAACTCTGATAAGGATTCATCTGCGTTAAGAAGATCAAATATTATGACGTTTAATTCCATCTATAAATCAATTAAACTGCCTTTCCTCGTACAATGTGCGCACGATTATGCACATAAATTAAAAAATACCAAGTACCCTTATCAGCTCGGTTGAACGTATGTATGAATAGGGATCACGCGAAAACCGAAAAGAAAAAGAAAAGAATAAGAAGAGAAACAGAGAGTGTCAACATCAAAAGCGTACTTTTCCTCTTGTTCGGCTTTTTCAAAAATAAGCCAATATACCTTCAGCGCCTTGGGCTCCCTCGTCGACGTTGCGTAGTCGTCGCTAGTGTTATCTCGCTGCTGGGAAACCCCAAATACGAATGATACCGTATTGTTGATCGCGGCTTCGGCATCTGGCTTTTCCAATTCCCCCACAACGACGCTGAGTAAAAAGCCCAGCAGAATCACGAGATACGCTCGCTCGAGAAGCGACGCCATTGCCAATTCCTGCGTACGACGAGGGGATAGAGTTCGTTTTGCGTTAAAAAATTAATATTTTTCGACAGTTATTCGAATGTTATTTGAGGATCTACGACATCATCAGATTTTATACGACAATGGTTTTCGATATGCTTGCGACTTTAAATGCTCAAGTTCATTGGGTGCTCTTTACGAATTTCAATGATTTTACGGGTTTTATTCGGATTTTTGATTGACGAATGTATTTGCATCATTAATGAAAAAAAAATAAATAAAAATTGACTTGAAACACTTTGTAGAAAGGCGACTGCATAAATAATAAAAAAAAACGAAAAAAACTCAATGCCGACACTTCATTATTTCAGTTACTCGATAAAAAAAACTTTATTAACTTGTTAGTTGACGAAGCGCGAGTGAAGTCCCACTAGATTTTTACGGTTATACAGCCCGTATTATGACGCCTACTTGCAGCACCAAGCATTGTCATCGAGTTAATCCTCTACAACTCTATTAAAGTGTTTACCCGATCGCAGGCGCGCTGACTAATTGACCGAGGCAAACGTTCTTTTTTTCTTATTGGATATAAAGTGAAAATAATTCCCACGGGAAAACCACTGACACCGATTCGTCGGTTAACGCGCCGAACTTCTACAACGTCGTACTTGGGAAACTGATATTCCTGTAGTTAATGACATAAGTCGATTGTCGTTGCACAGCGCGCTGTTTGTTTTATTAATTTTCAAGATCCGTTCGGCGATACGCGACCGTAGACCGCCCAGTTTAAGACGGGTCACACTGCCACTGAATGTGCTTCATGGTTTTTACAAGCTTCGATTTCTTCAGATCGAAGATTTCTCCTTTTCCAACGCGAAAACTGCGAAATTCAGCACAAACGCTTTTATCAATCAATCACATACGATTTAGCGTAATCGTATCGAAGTGCATTGGAGTTTAAAACTGTTATCACGCTGTAAAGCAAATATCTTTTTTTACCGAGCTCTACGGTCAGCCGACACAAACACAAGTCGATCTCTACATGCAGAATTTACCTTGCGTGCCATGGCAAATTATTCACTCGTTAGCTTCCATTCACCAAACTAGCATTTGATTAAAAATAAAGAATCGCCAAAATAGTGAGAAACCACGAGCACCGAACTTCTGGGCAAGATCGAATCGAACAAATGATCGTCGACGATGGGCGTCAGTCCTTTAAAAGGACTCTCGGTCACCGCTAATTGTTTGGTGGGAGAGTTGTGCTGCGATAACGGGTAATCCATCCTCTCGGGAGGTTGTCGTTGCGTGATTACTTCGGCCGCAAAAAATCGCCCTCCCGAGCGTTCTCCCGCGTTAACGGCTGTGTACGCGAAACCGAGCGGAAAAAAAAAAACGCCTCGCTCGGAGCGGCAGTACATTTTTTTTAACCTACTTGTCAGCTTTCTTTCTTAATCTTGAGGACTCTTTGTTGCCTTTCCGTGATTAGTTTTCTGCGGCCTTACCGATGCGCAGCTGCTTTGAATAATCCATTTACGTGACAGCGACTCGTTTGCTCGTATCCTCGATCGCGCCACCGATCTCCTTACTTCCTTTCTACGTGCTTCATGTGCATCATGCAGTTACGAAACGCGCGGCTAACTGTATTTCGGCTTTTAATGGTTTTAGAAAAACACTCGTAATAGAGATTTAATAAAAGGTAATTTTAGGTGCCCTTCCGTAGCTGAATGTTGACGTCATTATCAAACGAGCGGTTCACCCACTTGACTGATTTTTCGCAAACACGCGATGGGACGATAAACTTTTGGGCAAAAAGCATCATACAGCTCGAAAAATAAGATCGGAGGTGAACAGTACTTTTACTACGACCTTTTCGTTTCCTTTGAATTTTTCAACCTAAAAGCAAAAGTAAGTTAGTGTCACAATTTTCATAGACTCGCTGGATATACTCGATCAATTTTACGAAATTTTACTACCCTGAGAAACGAGTCTTTTTCATCAGCTCCTGAGCACTCTAAAGATGATGTTTGATTTTTCGACCGGAAAAAATGGATTCCGAATCTGTGTCATCGCCAACGAGGGCACAATAGGCAGCTCGGCTATTTTTAAATACGCACTGCTGACATAATATCCTATACACAATGTTTTCACCTTGTTCGCAGTGCCATGTAATATGTCATCTCGTAGTTATAAAATCTTACTCGTGAGATTTCTATTTCGACTTTCAGATGTTTCCGTAATTAGAAATTTATTTTTACTTTGGTATTAATCGAATATTACTCTGTAAATGAACTACCGACAAGAATTTGAATATATTTACGTGCGTAATTACTCGTGAATCGATTTTATCCAAGGTGCGTCATTATAGTGAACAATTAGCAAACACTAAGTGTGTCCTGTTCTTTTTTGGTTCGAGTCACGCAAATCCTTCTCTTTCTTTTTATCCATATTGCGTAACTAGATTCGCGCTCCTACCCATTGTAATATTTAATTATATTAAAATTCCAACAAAGCCTCTGTTAATTTGGTTGTTTCAATGCTCTGAATCATGAATTAGCCGCAAGTCGAAAAAATAATACAGTAGGAAAATAAAATGTATTTGTTTAGCTCAGCGATCGACAACGATTCTTTCAAGTGAATCTTTGCTTTTCGTTCAGTTTCCTGGGTTTTGCAAAAGAGTGTAGACCATTTGAAAATTTCTTGCTTTCTTCCTTCTATCGTAAAAAATGCAATGTCTCGAGTTAAAAACATGAGGCTTCACTTGAAAAATGAAAATAAGCGTGCGAATCGTTTTATCGGTGAAAACCGAAGAATAATGATGGTCATATACCACCGAGTACATAGCAATCGTCAACTGACGAATGACAAGGGTGAATCCCAACGAACGTTGCGAAGCGCTTATCACTTTCGAGTACACAACAGCGACCGGTCGCGTCGATCATAACTGTTGCTAAATTTGTCGTGACTGAGGCGCTCATAGACAATGGGTGACAATCAATCGAGCCTCTTCGGGCGCTTTTACGACTCGGGTACCGATAGCCGTTGTTCGCGGCAGAAAATAACGATAACCAAAGCACACGCTTAACCTCTTCCCATTGAACGCGAGCGTGCTATATAACCTCGTCCTTCGCTCACCACAATAGCAGCATGCGACACGGCAGGCGTAAACGTCGAGCACGTACGGCACAAGTGCGAGCCCGGGCAGAGGTCCTTCGCGTCGGTGTTCTTTGACAGACTTGTCAAGCGTTATGCGGACAGACGCGGCGACGAGGCCAAGTGCGCGAGGCAACCGCGGGAGAGGCAGCCGTCCACGCCGAAAGCAAAAGCCGAGTCGGAAGACGACAAGCAGAGGAGAGACGGCAGCGCTGCGAAGGTTGCGCCGACCGACTCGACGGAAGACGCGCTGCCAAAATGCTTCATCAAGGAGCAGGTGATTGCAACGCGCGTGCCCGTTGCGAGCTTGCGGCACTCGCAAGGATCAGCGCTGCGGCGATCCGCTGGACCACGATCAAAAGACAATCCGATTTGCATTCTTTCTTCTTTCGGCGAATCGCGCAAGCGCTGACTCTCGCGTGATTTTGAGCCTGCTTGGACAATTGTAAGCGTCCGCTGCGTCGCCGCGGTCGAAGTCAGGCTGGGAAAAGACGAAAAAAAAAAAAAAAAACGCGCGCTCGCGTGTTCGCCAATAGAATCCCCTGGCGCCGCTCTGCTGCGAGGCCAAATCCGACGACGAGGACGACGAAGACGACGGCCCGTGTCCGCCCGCGGGATATCCGCAAGACCCACGCGCGCCAAGTTGCGGCTGCGATCGATGCCGGAAGAGCGGCTACCACGGGCGTTGCTGCGACCGACGCACCTTCGTTCAACAGAGCGCCGACCCCCCACCGATGCTGGAGAGAGCTTGACTCGGCGGCTTTCGGATCCTTATCGGAAACATCGACTGTTTGACAATGGTACATTGGACTCGAAATGACTGTCGCGTAGATGATTCCTGTGCAATGCCTCGTGACAATCAAGTGGATCATTATGAATCATCGCAATATAACGTTATATCAACAGTCAAGCTCACATTCTCGCCGTGTACAGTTTGTGCGCTTATTTTCGCGTGCAAGTTGAATGACGAGGTGAAATAAAACTGCTCCATGCCGGGAATATTAGCATAACGTGATATCTCGAGATATTTAATCTTATCTGCAGTCACATCAGTCAACAAGCCGTTGTATAAAACAAGATAAATGTCTTAGTTATCTTTGGATATCACAAAGTTACTCAATTTCATCAGATTTTAAGAATATCTCACGCAATTATGCTTATCGAAACAAAAGCCGCTTATACGTTGATTCATGAGGCTTTGACATTGACGACGTGAGAAGCATTTGAACGCTACCAATTGGCATTCGATACGCGTTTCTCGGCGATTGAAACGCGGAACTTGACAGAGACTATTGCACGAGGGCAATTGTTATTGGTTGATCCGATAAAGTATCGAACGATATATTACACAAACAATGTATCTTTCCTTAAATTCCTAAAACAGCTTTTTACAACTACGAATCTCTAATTTGATTTTCAATATTTAAAGGTTTATGCATGCGTACTACGTGATCCAATGGGAAACAATAATTTATTTACTTAGCTGACAGCAGCGTACAACCTTTCCTACATGTCACAGTAGCTTTAGATGTATTTTATTGAAGAAACGCAGACTGATCAATATCATCAAAACTTGAAAATCGCCAACGGCAGTTCTTCGATTTGAATAGAAATTTATGGACAACTGTTTATTGCTGCATAAAAAGGAGGCCAATGTTTCTTCCTGCTCCAAGGTCTATCCTATTTTTATAAAAAATCTTCTGTAATAATATCCTTCGCACGCGAGGAAACGAGTTTTGGAATTACAATAAGCACTTATGCGCGGGATTCAATGTGTTCCAAAAAAACAAACAAACAAAGAAAATAAATAAATTCAAAAATAAAGTTAAATATCGAAATAAAAGAACAGGCAACGAAAAATCTGCGATTATCTCGTTCGCGTCACGAAATCTCTAAATAAAACAGTTACAAAAAGGAATCTGCCGCGGCTTATCGTACAGATTCGAACAACGTTGCGAGAAAACAAAAAAAAAACAAGGAACTCGAGCAAAGTTAACCCAGAATCTCAAGACGCGAACGGGCCGTCAATCCATACGACCTCGAGCTCTCTTAGCGAAAAATTTGAATTTGAATCGCATGTGCGTCAAAAGTAATGATACGAGATTCGAGGAATGGGGGGGGGGGGTGTGCAATGGTTGTAGGGTTTTTACCCAGACTCAGATACTAATTATCAAATTTCTCAGATTCTAGATATGTCGACTATTTTTACTCGAGTTTATATCTTTATTCGATAATTACGAATTTTGCTGAGTGATTCATAGTATTTAATAGTTGTTTACTTGAATGAGAAATGCTAAGTACAACACTTTATTACAGTTTGAAATAGATGTAATAGCCACGTTTTCACCATAAGATGTATAAAGCTCCCTTATTTTTTAATGGCTCCTTTGCGAATACTTTAATTTTTACAAAAATTCTTTTACTTTCCTTAAAAGTGACGTTTCTTTGAAATAGAAAAAAATTTGGCATGTGATTCATGAAATTCGTTTTAGTTTTGAATTTGTGGAATTACGGAAGTTAATAAATCAGCAAACTTCAAGAAATAAATGTTTAATTAAACTAGAAATACTCTCGAAAAAAATTTTTGCAAAAAAAAATTGCGATAGCTCCACGTGGATAGTTACTATCAATTATCGACACATGTCTTTATATATGAAATTACTTTATTGCTTCAGCAAAGTCGAATAAATATTGGAGCATCCGTGTAGCTGCAAGATAAAAATCAAAAGAATAAGTATGAAATGACTATTTTTGAATCAAACACGTATTCGAGAATATGCTTTTGAACGTCAATGTTAAACATATTTCCTTAATCTTGAAAGTGACCCACTCAGCATAATAGAATTAGTAAACAGTGATCGATCATTGACTCTGTTGAAAGTTAATTTTGTTATTTTCAAGCCGACATGTAAACTACATCACACCCTGCCTAAAGCAAACGATCAATGTGTCAAATGTCCATTACTCATTGACACATGGGAAGGACGCGAAAAGCTCTTTAACCGACTGACCCGTTGTTCTTCGCAACTCGATTAACGATGCCGTTTTTTGATTAAACGATCAAAGTTCGTATTGTTTCTTGTCCGCGCATTGCAATGTAGTTCTATAATGGCAGTTCCTCCGAGTGAACAGGCGGCGAACTAGCCTATCGCGCACGCATACTTTGCGGTAAGTTTCAGCTTCACGCGGGCAGCGCATTTCGTGAAGGCGAATCAAAGCTAATGGCGTAATGATCGGTCGTAAAGTTTGACCTACACTTTAGTAAACCGCGATACGTCGTTTGAAAAAAAAACAACGAGAAGAGCGTTGGATAGCGTGCGCCGTGGAATGAACGTCCGAGCGGCAGGCGATGATCGCGGCGAACGGAACTAGGCGCAGAAGTGCATTCCAGGCGCGTCCGCGGGACCGGCCGAGAGATCGGCAGCGTCGGCCGTGCGGAGACTCCTCTCGGTCGGCCGCACGCCCGGCGCAAGAAAGCGCGAGCGCCTGTGGCGAGAAAACTAGTCCTTCGCTCGGCGCACATCGCGTATACGTATGTGATGCCAACGCGCGCGACTGATGCGTTATCACGGGAGGGGCTCGCGAGGGGAGGGGCGGTCCACCCGCCCGCAGCGGCGGCGACGGCGGCGGCGGCGACGGCAGCGTTTATATATATAGCACGCGAGCTTCGGCTTCGGCAAGTCAGTTGTGCTCGAGCAGTCGCGAGCAACCGCACCGTAAACACACGACATGCGTGCCAGTAAGTTGACTATCTTTCACTTCTGCCGGCCGGCTTTTTGCCGCGGGGCCTTCAACTTTGCCGCGTTTTCTCGCCTCTTCTCTCCTGCGCTATCGGCGGATCGACATTGAAATCCACTGCGATAGTCTCGCCAGAGACTAAACGTATATGTGCAATTGTTGTTCTGTAGGCAGTGTCTTGTACGAGCAGACGGTTTTGACGAGCGCGGCGATTTCCGGATTCTTTTGGGATTAGTTGTGTGCGGTGGTGAAAAGCGTTTTTCCCCGCTCGTCACACGCGATAACACTTACTTAACGTCTGCCAATCGATATCTTACTTTTTAGACGCTCGCTTGGCTGCTGCTGTCGAGCGGTCACTCGATAGTTTGGCGGCTTGTCCTTTGTTTTTATTGCAATTTCGATGGCACCGTTCTTTGCTTTCTTGCTCCTTCGTGGCGCGATGTTTTATTAATCGTTTTATGTAACGAAACGTGCATGGAAAATTTCCAAGTGAAAACGTACGCTCCATATAGAATAGCACCAATATTCATCGTCGTGACGAGCGCGCAATTATCAAGGGATTGCTTTGTAATGACACAAGTGCCGTAAATTTATAAAAACACTTGCGAGGTTTCTCCTAATGCGCCACTCGTGTCTCTCTTTTTTTTCCTGCCAGATTTCCAATTGCCTTCACGATTCGATACTCGCAAGTCGTTGTAAATTATCGAACAGCACGAAATGCATGAATCTGTTGGATAATTGTTCTCTCGTTGTTTAGACAGCCAGTAAAAATTCGTTACTCATTGGCGTGCAAAACCAGCGTTTACGAATGTGACGACGAGTACACTCGCGCGCGCGTGGCTCTTATCTCGTATTTACTCAACAGCTTACTTGGCTAAATATTCTAGAATCATTAGCAAACTTTGTCAGTCCCAAACGCTATGACCGACGCAAAGTCTCGATTGGTCCTTCAGCTTTGGCCAACTGATAAAACTGCCTGCATAGCTAATTTCGATATCCACTTCGAGAGAGATGTACACCGGTTTTCGGTATCCACTGGTGGCATATTAACAGGCTCGCAATCATAACGGTTTCCATTCGAAAAGAAAAAAAGAAGAGACCGCCTGATAATACCGACAAGACCAGCATGCGTGAGGCTCGTGCGATAACGCGTGTAATCGCTTGCGTAAGCGGGGCAAGCAGCGAGAGTTAAAAAAGGAGCATTCGGTTTATAAATTGTAAAATCGTGAAATTATTCGATGGGCGCAGTGGTGGTTAGCGATCGCGCGTACTACGCGCACGTGCGCACGCCCTTGAAAGACGGCCTTCGGGAGATACTTGCAATTAGCGCCTCTTGCATTTTTTTTCCTTTCACTAATCAGGATTTGCGGTTGGGCGTATGATTTCTCTCTCCCTCTCGGCTTCAAACATTTTCGAATGAACGCAGCCGTCGCGATTGTTCTTGGCGAGGATTTTCTCCTTTTTTTGTCTACTCCGGTACGAAGCAACTTGTCAAGCGACAAGAAAGCTTCAGTCAACTCTGCTAATTCAGAGTACAAACAGAACCGCGCAATCCAAATCATCAGATGTTTTCGTTCTTAAGTCTCTAGTCGGTATACAGGCGTGTAAAGGGATTAACACGTCAGCGGTGCCCGTGCGTACCTTGTTTGTTTCGTTTTTACCGCGAGACAGAAATAAATTCGTAATGTGTCAGGCATGGAAGAATATCGCGCTTGTTTAAATGAGGAAAATCTCTGGCATCACTGCTTTGCTTTTTAAATCTTAGAGGAAACTTTGTGGGAGCACCGTTTTATTTGCGAATATCGATTTTCCGATTCAAAATTTGAAGTGTGCCATACGGTAGGCGGAATGACTCAACGGCGTCAATTAATCATCACCTATTACACGGGTACGTGAAAGCTGCTTCGAAAATTCATCAGTGCGGTGTTGATCGAACATCCGCTTATCGGTCCGATTATTCTGAGCAGAATTGTTTTACTTAATTAGCGTCACATATTACTAATCTCGAAAATAATTATACAATTGTAATGTCCGATCATTAATTCACGCTTAACCAATAATTACACGCCACAGCTGATGTTGAAAAATATTTTATTTTGAAAACGTTAATACTCAACCAGCAGTACTGTCTATACGTGAGATAACTTGGAATTTAAACAAAAAACTTTGGTATTCGGGCATACGTGTCATTTATAATGAGACAAGTAGCACGAGATGCTAATAACGATAGCGCTCCATTACAAAAAGTTCGACGTGGGATGATTCATGTTTTACTTTGTTTATTACAGCTATTGTTATTTTATCGCTGGCGCTTTGCGCGACATGCGCTATGGCCCTGGACCAGGTTAGGCCCATAAGGGCGGTAGCCAACAGCGCCGAAAACTTCGCTACCTCCTTCGTCAAGGTTCGTTGTTAAATGCATTTACATATATTATTAGTGTACTTATTAATTCAAGCATTTTAGTTGGTGTTCTTCAACATTTCGATTAAATATTTTTATTGTTTTGCTTTGATTTCGCGTACAAGTTTCATACGTAAGATGCTGAGGTAATCAATAAATTTTAAAATCAGTTGATATTTGCCAATAATTTAAATATTAGCGTTCGTTGAAATAAGACTGTAAAAAGTGATGGAACACGACTTTCTCTCTCTCTCTCTCTCTCTCTCTCTCTCTCTCTCTGATATCGCCTGCAGCTCAAGTGACGATTTTCCATTAATTCACGACAGAAAACGAAAATTGAATTTCACATAGAAAATAAAGCATGTCTACGAAGTTTTCTATACACAGGCGAGTAAATAAAAAGAGCTTAGTCAATGAGCGATGTCGAAACACCTCGCTCTGGTCTTCGCAAATAGCAAGCTAATTAGCATAATCGGACGAGCGAAAAAAGCGAGAGAGAAAGAAAAGAGCACTGGCAGTGTGGTGTCGCTGGTAGAGAGAAAAAAGGCAACGCATGCGGGCATGCGAAACGCCGCTAGCGTCGTCTACGTGATTGCGGCTACAAATGACTTTCCATTGTTGTAATTGCAGGCGGTGTCAAGCGAGAACAAGGGCAAGAACCTGATCAGCTCGCCTTTGAGCGCCCACATCGTCCTGTCCATGGCTGCCTACGGAGCCGCAGGCAAAACCGCTCAGGAGATGCGCCAATCCCTGCACTTGCCCGAAAACGATGCTATGTCTCGCCAGGGATTCCAGAGCCTCATCGATCAGCTCAACGTACGAGAGCGCACTTTTTTTCCCGTCGGCATTTTCGAGTCGAGGCCTCACCTTTTGCAAAGAAAAACGTCGAAGCTTCGAATGCCGTGACGAAATTTTCAAGTAGTAAATCTTCTCGGGCGAACAGTGAATGACCGTTGAGTTCGCGAAGACCCGCTGCATATATGTTTAGCAAACTTATGAAATTCGATAACATAAGCAAAACCGTAACTTGCGTGATTTATCTATCGAGGAAAACTCTTTATAGCCTGTTTGCAGATTTCTATTTCAGTCTCTCATGAATTTTCTAAAGTCAAACAAAAAAATTGCTTATTATCAGCTCTATTTTAATTCGATTTCGTTCAATTGCTTTGCTCGTCAGTCTTGGAAAACGAAATGATAATTTTTTTCTCGCTTATCACAGAACGTCGAGAACGTGACCCTGGAAGTGGCCAACAAGATGTACCTCGCCGAGGGCTTGACATTGAAACCCAAATACAAACAACTGACCGCTGATAACTTCCGCTCGGAGGCATCGCAAATCAAAGTCGAACAACCAACCGAGTCTGCCAACCTCGTTAACGGATGGGTGAAGGAGAGGACTCATGATAAGATCCAAGAGATCGTCAAGCCCGGTGAGAGTCTACTAGATCGCAGTGATGAGTTGCATTATTCGGAAGCAAGATGGTTCTCCCGACACTGACCAATGTAAATGTTATTCTCGCAGATGATATCAATCCTGACACCAGAATGCTCTTGTTGAACGCTGTCTACTTCAAGGGAAAATGGGCCCAGAAATTCAAGAAAGAGAGCACCGAGGACAGGACTTTCCACCTCGACGAGAAGAACGAAAAGAAAGTTCCCACTATGTATAACATGGGTGAATACTTCTACGGTGAATTGCCCGACCTTAAGGCCAGATTCATCGAGCTTCCATACGAGGTACCGGATCTTTCTACAATTATAAAGAATGATTATGTGCTCGTTGACAACTTAGATTGTTAAATATCATTTCACATCAAATTATAGAACAAATACTTGAAAATGGTGATCATCGTGCCCGATGAAATCAATGGCCTTAACAATATTTTGAACAACCTCGAGAGCTTCAACTACACTCGCCTTGCTAGTTCTGGGTCTAAGCGCGACGTTCACTTGCACCTCCCTAAATTCAAAATTGAGAGCAGTATTGATTTGAGAGAACCTCTTTCACAGGTGAGAGCTTTTATTTAGCTGAAATCAAATGCATTTATTGTCACCAATAAGAGTTATGCTTCTATTTTCCAGAGTAATAGTACTATTCTGACAATTTTTTCCAATGAAGCAGACATTGACATATGATTGCCGATGAATTTAAATTATAAAAATTTTGCGATCGCAATGATTGCAAAATAGCATGTCTAAGATAAAAAAAGAAACTAAGCATTTTCTTCTGATATTGCAGATGGGAATGAGCAACATGTTTTCTGATAGCGCTGATTTCAGTGGAATTTCCAATGTGCCGCTGAAGGTCGCTAAAGTCCTTCAGAAAGCCTACATCGAAGTAAACGAGGAGGGCAGTGAAGCTGCAGCCGTCACGGGTAAGTTGTCTTTTTACTTTTCTATTGCTGTCCTCTCAACTTCATTATGCTTCGTTTCTCCTTTCACCTGCCTAACTTGATTTTCTAAATCACCTATTTTTCCTTGTCTCTCACTCTCTTTCTCTTTCCATTCTCTTTTGATTTTTGCGGTGATGGTAACGGTGTTGGTGGTGATGGTTCGTTTCTTCTTCGTTCTTTTACTCTTCTTTTTGCACCTCTGGCAACATGATGTTTTTTCCACTGCGTGATTTCGTAAATTTTTTTTCGCGTGTGTCGCTTCTGTCAGTGTTCAGTGTTTCCGCTGTGTTTTTTGTTTAATTTGAAGTCAATCTACTGAGTATGTTGAAGTTTTCACACATCGGTACCTGAGATATAATATTAGCGTTTTACTAATGAGTTATGACGTTGCAACGTTACTCATTAAAGAAAAAAATCATGGTAAGCTCTTAGATGCTCTTCGTTTTAGTTTAAAAACGGTTCGCATAACTGTTGCTCTATAATTATATGCTCAGCACCTCCCTGTTTAATATTCTAATTTTATTGGCACAATCTGAATAATTTTTTTCTGATCGACTTTTACAAACACATTATCAAAGTTTTCCTTTTCCCTTCTATCAGTTTCTTATAGCTAAATCAATAAGGCTCAATAGATTCAGGTAAATACACAGCGCAGGTATTCGATCTGTATGCTAATGTCACTCCAAAAAAAGAAATCAGTTCATTTAAGCGATGAAAAAAATTATTTATATAAAAAAACATTATTCATGGCTGAACAATCCATTTGAAATGTTTATTAATGAAATACTGAAAAATAACCATTTGCAACTTTGACTTCAATTCGGTAAACGTATTTTTGTTCAAGTTCTATAAGAATCATATACATTTTACGAAATACGTATAATTTTAGAATCATCGAGCCTTATTTTCATGAGCCCTTTTACTTCGGAGTTAATTGTAATATAGTAAATACTATTTGTTGTTGGTTTTTTTTTGAAAAACCGAACTGTTTAATTTTTGTGCTATCGCGTGCTATCACATTGTTGGTTATTATAATTTGAATACCATCGTAGTATTCAATGGCAAATAATGAAAACTAGTTGTGATACGAATATCTATATAGGCTGAAATATAAACCTCTTAAATATATTAATGTGAATAAGAATCTCAAATCATCAAACACATAAACTAATAAACTGGAGGTCTGAAACGAGAACAACTACTTACTCTGAATAATAAGTCTGACCTAGATTACTATTTGTTTTTTGTCACCCAAGTATGACTTATGATTTTGACACAAATCAGAAAATCTGTATTTACCGGAGAAATTTCGCACATTTAATTTCATTCTAATTAAATTAATATTAGTGTAGTTTGATATTAGTAAGGAATGTTAAAAACAACGATTCAATGTCTATCGAGTAAATGTTATAGTAAATTAACCCACTAATGTAGAAAAATTTGAATAACACGTATTCTAGAAAGGAAATTTTTGTGTAAGAAGCACGATGTGAAAGACTTTTTTTTTGTCCCATAACAGTTATTGAAATCGAACTGCTGAGCTTTAGCCCGAAACCTGAGTTAATAGTGGATAGACCATTTTTGTTCTCCATTGTCGACGAAAGGACCAATGTTTCACTGTTCAGTGGACAAGTCGTTCATCCGAAGAGCGAATAAATCTGTTGGAGGTGCGTTATTAATCGTCGTTTTTCCGTGGCGATATCCCATGCAATCGAACTTATTATAATTAATATATCGTGATATTTTAGCAATTCAATTTTTGTAGTATTATTTTAGTAAAATATTAGATACGCTTTGCATGATATTACTTTAAAGTTTAGCGCGAAATTCGTAATAGACATTGAAATGTACTTGAAATTATAGAAGAAAACATAATAATGAATGAAAACATTATCAAACGAAATCTTATGTCGAAATTATACATGTTTTTTTCAAAAGATATTTTTCATACGTAGGTCTAAGTTTATTATGAATATTTTGTACTTTTCGGTGTCAAACATAACTTAATAGATTTAAAAAATACGTAAATCTCTTTTATTTTTGACAAAGAATTTGAAACGATTGAGTTATATATTATCAATGACAAACACTTTACAGTATTTTTAAGTGACTTTTTATTACTAATAAAATTAAATTTTTATTGACATCATTATTACTATCGTTACTTTAAAACCTAATACTTCAATAAATAACCGTTTTGTGAGTCTAAAACATTAATTATTAGGCTCATATAAACATTACATTTCTCATTTTTGCAATAAATTGCTTTTGTATTTAAATTGTAAAGCTTTTCACGAAATGAAAAAAAAATACTATATTATTTTATTTCTCACGTGTTATTTTCGAAAGTGTGAACTTACTATGGTAATAAAGTTACAACTATTTGTATACATGCTTACAGTGCAACATGCAGTGTTCCGACATAAAAGAATATTATTTAAAGCAGGCAGACAATTTTATTACAAGATTCGATATAAAATACTGACATTATTTCTAGGCTTTATCAGTCCTTGATTTTGATACAATTTGATTAATTAAATTCTTTGTAACGTAGCATTTAATATTTTTACGTAGGCGATGTGATTTGAAGTACATCTAATTGCTAGAATTATACGACCATATATATAATTAAATTTCTTAATAAAAATTATAATGTTTTATAAATATAAACTTATCAAGAAAAGTATCTAGAACATTAAATAATTTCTAATTCTAAATATATAGTCTAATACAGTTCATAAAGGATATTTTATAAAATAATCCACTATAAAATAACTATAAATAATTTCTCGAAAATATTAATGAAGTAAAAATATTTGATTGAATACATTTTATATTTTTTCTGCCAGAAATAGTATGACATGCAGTTGAAAACGATAATTCATTGATTTTCAGTATTTTTGTACTTTGCAGTACAGATTTAGCTTAACACTTTCTCTGTCAAAACCATTGTTTGAATTACGCTAAATAAAATCGAATCAACTAGTTTCACAAATTATGTACATTAAATATTATATACTGTAGAAAAGGAATCTCATTGGAAATATTGTGGATCCATTAGCTACTAAAATGCGTTTTCTCTTCTGTTAGCCACATTCTGTTATTTTTCTGAAACTAATCATTACCGAAAAAGAACTTCATAATTCTTGCTTCTCATGAGAGTGATTAAAGTTACTGAAATTAACTATATTAAATGATGTATTCTAATTTTTAAATAATTTAATTTTTAATATATTCGGCTATTCTTATTCACCAGTCTATTTTTAAACGAAATAGAAGTAAATTACTACATTTTGTTATATTTATAAGCTATTCACAATGAAGTATTCTTAGGTATAATGATACTGGTTTTGGTTATTTTCTATATGGTAATTACGGTTATCGTATCGTAAATTTGAATATTAGCACCATTAACTATATAGCATGTTAACAAATTGCACTAAACTTATGTATATAAATGACATAAATAACTTACGATTCTCTAGGTTGTTATTTCTCGTTTGAACATCTAATTATTCGATTTTTTAGAAAATGAGTTACAAGGTCATTCGGGATTCATTCCACCACCACCAATGAAAATGAAAGTTAACAGATCATTCTTCTTCCAAATATTTGACACGTCAAAGCAAATTGATTTGTTCGGTGGTCTTGTTTGTAATGTCATGACCAATTAATTATTCGTCACACATGAGAGAATTTTATTTATTTTCATCATAGTGCATTAACTAGGAATAAAAATTAAAGCGTTATTGCATCCAGAATATGAAAAATTTAATTACCATGGTAGTTATTCAATTCTTTTTACTAAAATACTTTTTCAAGCAGTTGAAATTTTCAAAGATATTTGTTATAAAAACCTTCAAAAGGTGAAAAGAAACTCTTGTTTCACAACTTTTTAATGAGTAATAATCTTGCGCCAACATTAATTCATCGTTGTTTATTCAATACCATCTATTTGGATCGCAAATGCTCATAGTAGTAATAAAAAAAAAATAACTGAAATCTCAAAACTGACGACCCTGAGTTTATATTTTTAGAAACATGAATACTACTTGGTACGTTTGCATGGAATGAGTCTTCATTATAAAAATACCATACGGAAATAAGTCGTTTTTGATTACAGTTTATGACAGAAAGTAATAAATCAGATTTCTCTTTTTTCTTTGTCATTTTTATCTTCAGCTACTTAATTATATATCGGATCATTACTGATAAATTTGTAATTGATAATTATTCTGGCTCATTGATGATGTGGTTTGATGACAAGTATTATTTTTTTACTAACACCATCAGACTATTCTGACAACTGCTCTTGATATATTTACGCAATTCCATACAGAAGATTATTTAATTTTAATATCTTAGGCTCTTACAGAATATTTGGTGGAAAAATCTAAGAGATATTAAAATTAAATAAGTCATTTTTTAATACATGACGAAAAAAAACTTTTTACTTTTCACTGAAATTATTACGAATCATATGAATAGATACACGTAAATTATAGATAAAATATAAAAATTCGATTTTATCAAAATTTGATGAATTTACAACGAAACTTATTAGCTTAAAAAATTATTAGTATCTTGTCCTCTTAAATAATTAATGATAAAAAACCAAATAACAAATAAATGCTCCGGAAGTCTTACAATATAATTTTTATAATTTATAGTATTACGTGCTGTTCCTCTAAGTGCTGCTATTGAAGAATTCGTTAAACTCCCAAAAATATTGAAAGTGGACAAACCATCGATTTTTACAATTCATGACGGGATAAGCAGAACTACGCTGTTTACTGGATTAATTTTGAATCCTTCAAGTTAATCACCTATTATCATTTGATTAAATCTGCTTCAACGTTTATTCAAAATTGTAATGAAGTATATGGTAATTAAAAAATATATGGTCATTACCATTCCATATATATTGGGAAAGTAACATTCGGGAAATAAATTACTCCGGAAATGTATTTTTGACTATTAATTTTCCTTAGTACTCAAAAAAGCCTTCAAACGTGTATAATCCTAGATTCATCTTTACTTTATACATCATAATAAATATGTAGAATTTAATTAATTTTTATACTATTTTTCTACTTTAATAAAATACAATACAATCCCCACAAAAATGGGTAGATATTGATAAGTGGTAATGATAAGATAAATTTTATTTTTAACATCTACAATTGTTCCGGTTATTATTCCGTCGGAACATTAAAAAATTATGCAAAGTAAGCAAGCCTACCTTGCTCAAAATTATTGATGAAAAGCGCCTACTTCATCATTTCATTGGATTCATCAGTGATCAGTGATGCAAATAAATAACTTGTTGCTGTGTATACGCAATATAATTTTTTATAATCATGCTCTCATCAGCTTGGTCACAATTAAAAATTATTTAATTAAAAAATTCCCTGATATCTATTATAAATTAATGCATTGATTCTTTCTAATACTAATGTGAAGTATTAGGTTCGCTGAAAGCCCGTAAAAGATATAGGCAGACGTAAATATATAGATTGTGGATTTTAATCCTTCAATTAAATCATTATACTACAAAGGACGCGTTATATAATAATAAATAAAATCACTCGTTGCAAATCAAATATTGCAAACTGTAAAGTTGCATATTTATTGCAAAATTTTCTGTTGATTTTATTGCAAAATAGTCTTAACACTAAATATAATATATTAATTATTAATCAATTTATTGCTAATTATTGGTATTCACTAACTAAATGTAAACCTCGTAAATTATAGTTTCGATAAATTGACAAACGGGAAAATTACATTGCTCTACTTATGGGTCATCTTCTCAATCCTTCAAATTAATCACCTGTTAATGAATTAATTATTATGATAACTTCACGCTCATTTATTGATACTACAATAATAGTCGATATCTCAGAAAAATATAACATTACGTTGTATAAAAAAGTTCCATCAAAAAGTAATTTTACAGAAATAAATTCATAGTATTACTATTTTATGGTTAGGAGCTTAATTTTATCTAATTCAATAATAAATATTTAATAGTTATCTATTTCAATATGTTGTACATCATACAAATTTCAATATGTTGTGCATCATACATGCTGGTAATTGTTATTACCTCATGAATTTTTCCCAAAGCATAAAACGAAATCGATACTGAAATAAATGGAATTTTGTGCATTCTCCAAATAAGTTATGCATCAATCATTGCAATAGTAATCTTCATTTGTGCGACGAAAATTTTTTTTACAACAAATTCATTGTTGCAATTACTTTCAATACAAACAAAAAACAACGTAGTATTTCGGAGGCTTTATACCTTTTTATAATTTGTAGTAATCCAGATTGTTCCAGTAATGGCTGTGATAGAAGAATTTGTTGAACTTCCAAAAATATTGAAAGTGGATAGGCCATCATACTTTGAAATTCATGACGGTAAAAGCAGAACTCCGCTATTTACTGGATTAGTTGTTAACCCTTCAACTTAAGCATCATTCAATCAAATTTACTTTTATCTTCAGATTTTAATTGTCATAAAATATGATATTTTTGAAATATATCCTTATTATATAAACATTTTTAGAAGTATTAAGCAACTTTCAAACATATATTTCTTTGACGATGCATAGTCGAGTACTAATTTTTTTTCACACTCAAAAATAGCTACTTTTGAAATGAATAATTGCTCTTTTTTATGCTTTCATAAACTTTAAAATGAGCTATATGTTAAAAAAATTTATTATTTAAAAGTTACAGCAGTTTGTATATAGTAGTCCCGTGTGGGGTCCACTATTTTACCTCTATATTAAATTTTCAATTGTACATCAAGATTTATGGTCCCGACGACAAGTTAACCTTTTTAACTTATTTTTTGTAAAGTATTTGTATAGATTTTTATAGTAATATTCGTGATCTATATAGTTGCAATAGATCTTGTATTGCATTCGAACGTAAATGGGAATTAAGCGCTGATAAAGCAGGGCTGTCCTATTTATTAATTACCTTAGTAATGTTTGATCTCCTAATGATCGTTTGATCACATCAACTTTATGTACTTTTATTGACTTGGGTATAAATCAATCAGAATTAATAAAAGTACATAAAGTACATGAAATAAAAAAAATATTAAAAATAACTT